GTCTATTTGGACCTATAAATTACACATTTTGCAGATTTTAGCTTTTTGTAGACCTCCATTTTTGGGGATAGATGCCTACCCCTATGGATAGTTGCCCCACCTTGAAAATACTAACAAGGATAGATGCCTACGGTGCGGGATAGATGCCCTTCATACTATATAAGTATTTTATGTTAATATTATTTATATATTTTTTGTCTTTATTTTATTTGAAATGAAAAGTATGTAGTTTTTAAAATCTTTTTATTGTCATTGTCATTATAGATAAGATAAATAAGATACATTTTAATTAAAATTATAACAATGAAATTCAACAATAATATGTATTTTAAATCTTTATTATTAAATATTAATACCTAATTAAGTTTCAACAAGCAAAATAATAAAAGTCATTCTTTCTTAAAAATTAAAATAACTAAATAAATATCATCATAATATTTAACCGGACAGTGCTTTAATTTTTCCACATCTCGAGCAACTCTTTCTGAAAAGTGTACAGGTTTCATGTAACCAGTACTGACTCATTACACATTGAATCCAGTCGGATTTAGACTTCGTTTGTTCATAGTTTTCAAAGCATTCTATGCAGTTAATTTATTTATATTTTAGGCCCATCCTGCCCATCAATTTTAGTGTTCTTTACCAGCAAACTTTTATCCCCACGTTTTTTCTGTCCATTTTCTCCATAGCTGGCTGCAGTTGTTCTGTAGTCCAAGAACATATTCGAGCTCGCACTCCTTCCTTTATTTTGTATTTTCGTGGCATAGTTCTGCTATAATCAGTAAAAAGACCAAAAACTTAGTCAAAAGTAAATCAATATAAAGTATAAATACCTATACATAAGCACATGAAAAATATAAAACAACACAAAAATACTTATATTAAAAATATACATGGTGTTGTTTTAAAGCCGCGTCATTTTCTAGGAGGTAACTCGGCTATCGATTCTGAGTCCGAATCAATGGAATGGAAAGATGGAAGTTAATATTTTTCATTTTTCTGTAATTTACGGGAATCCGTAATTGCGAACTACACGCCGCCGTCTTGTAACTAGCTTTATAACGCGGCTTAACACACACAAACTCAAACATGTAATTGATATTATTCCTTATTCCATAAAACTCGAATAAGAAAAATCGCCGCTTGTCTTGAATGTCGCTTTTTCTGAAATATTGTCCAACTTAAACGATTTATTATAGCCGTATTTTTAACTATTGACCCGAAATTTTCTCTTACATTGAACCTATATGACTTCTGTGACATGCCCCCGAGAAATGACACGACTTCAAAACTACACCTTGTTTAATCAAAGCACTTATAATACAATCAGGATATACATGGTGTATGGAGGGATAGACGCCCCTAGGGGCATCTATCCCGTTAAAAATCAGGGCAACTATCCTTTTTGACAGGGATAGCTGCCCAAGTATTTTTTAAATAAATAAAAAAGAAAATAGCGATTATTTACATCAAAATGTATACTTCATGAAACAATATATTGACGTAATAAAAAATATGGCGGAATTAATGTCTACTTCAAAAGTTATACAACAGCAAATACTCACCTTTAAAATTTTTACGCATTTGGTAATTTCGCCACGGAGATGAATTCATATACGAACGAAACGCATCCTCACCGCTTGACGGTGTGTGGCTAACTTAGGTGCGGGGTGCTTGCGGTTTTTAGTTAGTTATACGGTTGTTTCTTAATCGCGAGCTTAGGAAGTTAGGTTTTTAAGAAATGGGGCATCTATCCAACTGAGGCATCTATCCCGGTTTTACCCTACAAGTTAAAAATAACAGCGTACGCTTACAATTATAGTATTTTATGTCATTCTTCATATCTGTTGTATGGAAAAACGACTGTAGTGGAATGACAAAGAAATGAACGTTAATTCATTGTTTATTTTAAATATGTCATCGAGTGATATCGTGCGTCGCGGAATCAGTTTAATTTGTGTTCATCTAATCAAATCCGATTTTTTTTAAGGGGGGATAATCATCGAATGACTGCTCCCGCCTGGGTGACCACCAAAATCACCCCGTTCCTTCTCCTTTAGCGAAACGCCAGCCTTCAGCTTTTAGCGCTTGTCTACAGAGATAGTAGAAAACTAAATGTAGGCTGATCATAGCGCACTTAAGCACACTTAATCGCATGTATCACAAATAAAGGTTTCTTTTCATTTCATTTCATATGGGGATAAAAATACGTCAACTCCATATAATTTGGTTTTCTATTCTACAAGTAGACAATCGCTACGTGGCATTTTGGCTACAGCTGCTGTCTGCTGATGTATCATTTTGAGTAAAAGATGCTGAATGAAAGACAAGAATTAACCGTCTGATATCACCTTTACCAGTTTTTCGTAATGGGGGCGAGCCCATGCACTGTTTGAAACTGACTGACTAAAATGTCCAACAACACATAATACATTGCCGAACTTAGGAATCAAAACCTACATAACATCAGCACGCCTTTTATCCCCGAAGGGGTAGGCTAAGGTGCACATTATGCTACTGTAGAATATAACACCCACTTTTCACTATTTATGTTATGACTCCTATGTAATAGGGGGTGAGTCTATTGCCATATACCGGGCACAATTCCAGACTCCAAGCTATCACTGAATTTTTTTTAAAACCCAGTAATACTTTGACCGGACCGGGAATCGAACCCGAGACCCCTTGACCGGCAGTCGCACTTGCGACCACTCGGCCAACGAGACAGTCTGAGGTAGAATCAAAATCTGTTTGGCAAATAACTCACAGTTTCAGATTATTCCCCTTTGGCCAACGAAGTTATTCAGCAGTTCAACATGAACACAAATTAAACAAAGTTAAGAGCAGGCCAGCGTCTTTGAAACAAGATCTCCTTTGATCGAATTACAGGTTGAGAATTAACGACTAATTGATGGGCGGCCAGCAGCTGGCTAATCAGTCCTTTACATTCGACACCACGGTGGACCTGACCTGATCTCACTAAGTTACTCAAACGCTACTAAATTTTAAGTCGCGCTTAAGTATAGTTCTGTCTCCACAAATTCTTTGTGAAATGTCAGAGATGGCATGATATTTAAGCACGACTTAAAATTGAGTAACGTTTCAGTATTCCGGCATTAGACTTATAAAGAAGAGAAAAATAATAATAACATACATCATGCCTTTTATGCCCGAAGAGGTAGGCATAGGTGTACACTACGGCACTTAATGCCACTGTACATTGTAATCAGGGTTGCCAAACTGTGGGGAATTCCCCAAACTGCGGGGAATCTCAAGTTGGTTGGGGATTTATTGGGGATTGGCATTATGTGGGGAAAATGCGGGGATTTTGACATCTTTTGGCATTTGACACAAATTGGAAAATATTTCATCGTTTATTATCAATAACAACATTTTTTTTAAATCATAAAGCATGAAAGCTGGAGAGAATATGGAAGATTTGAAAAAATATGAAAATCGAGGTACATTTTGCAGCTATTGCAGATTTCTATAAGACATGCTAAGATTTTTATATGGAATTCACGTCGGACATTATTAAGATATTTGATTTCCGAGATCCTTTATTTTCTATTATATCTGTTTCAAATCCATTAGAAGCTCAACAGCTTCAAATTAAAACAATCAATATTATTTAAATAATTAATTATAGTTTTATTTTATAAAAAACTTTTGAGGGGAATTTGTGGGGAATCAGCGGATTTTTATTCCCCAATTTGGGGAATTCGATCAGGAATTTTGGGGATTTTGATGAATTAGCTTTGGCAACCCTGATTGTAATACCCACTTATCACTATTTATCTTATGAGTCCCATGTAATTGGGGGTGGGTCTATTGCCATATACCAGGCACAATTCCAGACTCAGTGCTACTACTGAGACTTTATGAAGTCTCTCAGTGGTAGACACCTAAGATTTTTAGTAAAAATTGAATCGCTCGTGTTATTAGTTATCGAGATAATACAAGTGTCCGGCGATAGTTCCATCCGGCGTTATGGGACTTCCCTCTACACGTTATTAAAAAGTACTATTTATAAAGGAACTTGCCTTCAACAAACTACTTCAGTAGGTAGTACGAGGGGCTTAAAAATATGATGCTAATGACATGAAACTTAAAACACAGGCTACTTAAGTTACCTGCACTTGGTCGTGGGACGAGCGAGTCATAAGTTAAACTTAAGCGTGCTTAGGCTAAAAACTTTTCAGCCGTCCTGTGGTTCAGACCCCTATGATTACTCTCTGAAGAAATGATCTAACTTTGTATGATTTAGTTAATACTAGCTTTTACTCGCAGCTTCGCTCGCGTCACAAAAGGTTAAAAAGTAGCCTATGTGACATATACCTATATACACAGCGCCATCTATACCAAATAATACCAATACTTTTATTTTCCATCAATAATATCAAATTTTTCCGGGATAAAAAGATATTATTATTTAATCCAGACTTCTAACTTTACGTCTGCAAAAATTCAAAGCAATCGGTTTAGCACTTACGGCGTGAAAGCGGAACAAACAAACAAACTCACTTTCCGATTTATAATATTAGTAAGGATTATGTTGTAATTCAAGAGGATTTGTCTCCATTCCAGATAGCAATAAATTCACTTAAAAGTTACAATAAACTAAATTATTTATTGATATGAGTTGTGGTGGCTTCCGACCACCATGGTTGGTAGGTTGGTAGGTTTCGAAACCTACCAACAGTAAGTACCAATGTGACTTTTTCCGAGTTATATGTGAACTTTCTAAGATTATTTAGACAGCACTGGCAAACGGTGAAGGAAAACGTAGTGAGGAAATCTAAACTTATAATTTGTAAAGTTTGAAATTGCCAAGCCGTATTGAGCGAGCGTGGCGATTAATGCTCAAACCTTCTCCGTGTGAGAAGACGCTTTTGGTCAGCAGTGACCACTTATAGGCTGTTGATGTGGATTCATTGGTATCAAGATTATTTTATTATAATTGCTATTTTTATGTTAGCTAAAGGAAAAAAAACAGAACAATAAGTAAATAATATTTTTATTGACTATTATTAAGAACAATATGAACTTACGAGTATAAATATTGACTAAGAATAAGAATTTAATACAGTCGGGTTCGACCATCGTGGCTCGAAACTTAACAATAAAAATAGAATAGTTTGGTTATGATGTCGATGATAGTAATCGATTTATTCGATACATTTTTAAAATACATACATTATGATTACACAGAAAATAAAACGGAATACGTGTTGGTGCATTCTTCTTCAGTCCCTCAAACAGATAATCATCTGTGCTAAAGAAAGAATAGACAAATATGCGATTAATATAATAAATTGTTGCTGAGGAAATAAGTGCTTAAATTTATAAAATGCTGGAAGATATCCATTGTCATATCTATTATATTAAAATAGATCGAAAGCCACGACAATGTAATCCGATTTGAAGACGTCACTGGAATTTCTTCCTGAGTATTACATTAGTTTCAAGGCAGTATTTTAATCTTAAACCTAGTTTCTAAATTAATTACATGACTAATTACAAAAACAATGAAGTATAAATTACTTCTAATGGAGAAGGAGATGGTGGGAAAGACTTTCGAGGTGAAAGAGGGAGAGTTGGGAATGAGAAAGGTTATCTAGAAGGTTCTAGAGGGCGGTGACTTAATTTCTAGGTTGTTGTCTGGAGCGGTTCTGCTCCTGGTACTCTCCGTTTGGTCTCTTGTGCTGTTGACCCTGGAATAAAGAAAGAAAAACATTATTATGCATCTTTTGGACGTGTAGGTAAGAGTTTATCGTCTAATTGTTTAGGGGTTAAAGATCAATGATGAAGATTATGGTAAACCTTCTTAGGAAGACGATAGTTCAGTATTGGACGTCACATCTGCGACTGCTTTAGATATTAATCGTTGTTGAGTTCGTAAAATAATTTTAATTAAGCCTTTAACTGCTGGCAAAACATTTTAAAGGCCTCGGTAAGCGTCGGTCGTCATTGTTCGATATGGCATCCAATGTGTTAAGTATAGATTATGAGTAAGTTAAAAAATATATGATTGTGATAGTGTTATTTCTCAGTTCTGTCAGTAGCACAAAGTGTTTGTAACAAGGTATTTTTTTTTTGCTTAACCCACGTCAATTCGTAGTTATACTTAATAGAAATCGCACGACTTTAAAAATTACGTGTAAAATTTCAGTTCAAATCAGTGGAACACAGTTGTAATGGTTTTCATCAGTTTTCCTTATGTAATGGAAAGTAATCTAGCTACTAAGCAATCAAAGATTGTTCAAAAGCAAATATTTCCTTAACTTCATCAAGTTGTAGACTTCCATTTATGTACAAATGGCTCAATATATTGAATCAATCGAGTAAAACGGACATTATATACGTTAGTATAGAAAACCAACTCTAATCATTTCATGATGGAGTTTTATTCCATGAGTGAATAATTATTGTGGATATCTAAAAACAAATGAAGACTGAAATAAAGACTGAAATAAAGACTGCCTCATTAGCCGAGTGGTCGCAAGTGCGACTGCCGCGCAAGGGGTCTCGGGTTCGATTCCCGGGTCGGGCAAAGTATTACTGGGTTTTTAAAAAAAATCTCATTAATAGCACGGAGTCTGGAATTGTACCCGGTATATGGCAATAGGCTCACCCCCTCCATGGGACTCATAACATAAAATTAAATAGTGAAAGTGGGTTGTACATTGTACAGCGGCATAATGTGCACCTCTGCCTACCCCTTCGAGGATAAAAGGCGAGATGTTATGTTATCTAAAAACAAAGAATAGATTCAACTTTTGAGTACCTAAGACAATAATAGCAAACTTTTTCAGAAAGACTTTTTTAAATTCTGATCACACTGACGCGTACCTCTTCTTTTTCAATAAGCAGTATTTACATAAAAGCACATTTAAAATTATTATAAAGTATTTCTTAGAAGCTTCTTGCTTAAAAGCAATTTTTAAGTATTTTGCATACAGTTTTTTAAGCTCATTTTAAAGCTCAGGAGAATGAGTTGACAGAGTTGTATCATCACTTTGATTATATTTCCAGTTTTGTTTAATTTTGTTTTTAACCTTATATATTATAGTTAAAGGTTCTAAGAAAATGTGATAATTTCAGTTCTCTTCAATTTTAACATAACATAACATCACGCCTTTTATTCCCTAAAGGGTAGGCAGAGGTGCACATTTTGCCACTGTACAATGTAACACCCACTTTTCACTTATAATTTATATATGTCTAGTTACTGTAATAAAATATAACACTTATCATGTTCTTTTAAACCTTCTGTCTATTTCTTGATTGTAACGCAGACTTCAGTACAAAGTCATGAAGTTTGGGTGCGAATCAATAGGCATCGATTTGCCCGTCCATTCAATTACTATCTCTACTTACCTATGTACTGTTCTAAAACCTTAAGGTTTCCATTATTTGGTTTCCAATGTTCCTTTACTTTAATTATTGTAATTGTTGCCCTAACGACTACTTTACCTCAGTCATTTGAGAGGTTCAAGGAATTTGGTGTTCTGAGCTTCGTATTGTAATGTGTTTAGGTTTTAGCACCTGCCAACTGTTACTTGCGTATATTACTAAGTATTTAAGTGTGCGAGAGCCATGCTTCGGCACGACCGGAGTGACACCACGGCCTCACAGAAAGCCAACGTGAAACTCCGTTTACGTTGTGTTTCGTCGTGTGACTGAGGTCACCGAAGGGTCAATCTCCTTTCCCCAATCTGTCTAATCCCTAAATCACCAACAATCGTCATATTCCTAATCCCAAAATGTCAGTAACGCACTTGTAACGCCTTTAGCGTTCTAGGTGTTAATGCGAGGTGCCGATTGCTTACCATGAAGTGATCCGTCTGCTCGTTTATCGGCTTATCCCATAAGAAATACTGTTTGTTGTTGTTGAGAACCTCTTAGTTTTAAAGGGTGCAGTTGTTTAACCATTATTTTATAATTATTTTTGGTATATTATTGAGATTTGCAAATCTATGCACCAGTATGGTATGTATTAGGTATTAAGTCTACTACTAGTTTGTCACACTATGACGCGACTAATAAAAGTGGAAGTCTTGTTAACAGTAGCCTTTTCCTTCTATAAATAACCGTTGAAATGCTACTACTTTTAAACAAAAATGTATCATAATACTTTTGTAGTAAGTTTCTCTATTCCACTCTAATTTTTGTCACCAACCAGTGCCCTAATCTCCATGGAAACATGAGTTCCCGTTGGGCAGTTATTCCCTAATTCAAACTGACGGCCTCACAGTTGCAATCGGTTTAGGCAAATGGCAGTAACACGTCTATCCATGACGAGTGAAGTCACATGTCCTAAATCTGATCGGATTTTGTCATCCATTTTAATTTGGATGGACTTGTCCATAGAACATATGACTTGTCAGATATTTGGACATTGTAATCCTATTGCGTGGTGAAATAGTTTATTTGTTGTACTCTATAGTCATTTTAGTCAGTGATATTTTTAAGGGGGGGAAATCATCGAATGACTGCTCCCGCCTGGGTGAGGCGGGAGGGAGTGTCAGACTCTTACTGACTAAAAACCACCCCGTTTCTACACCTGCACTTCGAACCGGAGCCCCGGTAACCTGTTAAGTTCTCCGCGGCTCCGTATCGGCATCAGCCCTATTGGGCCCCATCTGTGGTGGTCTGATGGCTTTTTAAGGCGCGCGCTGACCGCGATGGGCCTGGTTCTGGTCGAGCGGCGAGCCACCCATGCTCGCCGTCCGCAGGCCCGTGCTTACGGTGGCCGGAGATCGTCTCGCGATTCCCGACGCCCAGAGTGTCCTTCGCGACGGCTGGGTTGTGAAGAGACAGCGCTTCGCTGCCTCATTCAATTAAAGGTTGATATGGACGTCATTGATAGAATATTTACAAGATTCTACATTACTTGCGTGACTGCAAGGGTATCAACTTAAAACCAGTGTTGGGTACTTATTGGGTCCAGCTTATACTGAGTTGGAAAGCCCTTTAGGCATGGGCATGTAGCAACCTTGTTGTTCTTTTTTAAATTATTTGTTTTTATTTATGTTTGTGTATTTGGCACCATGTCTAGTAGCAAATAAATTATTTTTCTTTCTTACTTTTGACTCGTTTGCCTTAAGTGGGGATTGGGTAGCGATTTAGATTTATGCAGCTACTTACTAAGCTTTGATAGCAACCATAGGCTTAAGAGAACTAGCCAACATTCTAGTTAACAAAAATCTATTTCAGTTTACAGAAACATACACTGTAAGCTGATGTAGTTACTGCTATAAGTAAAATATTTAATTACTACTTATGATGCAGGACTATGAACTTTGACGTCATCGCCACTAAAGTGAGGGAGTGTTGGAGATAACGAGGTATTCCCACTACACTCCCACTCCTTTACACCTTTAGAATATTAATTGGAATATTTCATTATAAGTGTCGGGATCCGTGATGTTATTTTTGTTGATATATTTATGTTTAAAGACATCAGGGATTACGCTTGTGTATATTCCTGGGTAGTAATATTATCTATATATTTACATTACAGTTACTTTTATCGAAAATATCAATAACACGAGCATCCAATATTAGGTACTTATACTGAGTACACTTTTATATACTCGAGTAAAATAACCATTTAATCAATATACTTAAAAATGCATAAAGAAAATCTTATATTTTCTACGATAAGATACAAAGAATATAATTTGCATATTTATTCATGTAAAATAACAGTGCACGAATACATTTTAACATAAAAAAAGACAGAAACGTAAGCTAATGAAAAATAAACCAGCACATTGAATCTGCGTGGAAAAATAGAAAAAATATTGCATCTAGTTGATCTTATTTGTTTAAGCAAAGAATGGTAAAAGCTGCGGTCTGTTTCGATGAATCCAATTTTTCTTTTTGCCACGTGGTTTTTGAAAAATGAAATATAAAGCATTGTAAACATAAAGCGAAGTTTATACTTAATGAATAATAACACGTTCGGTTCCAGAAAAAGAAGAAAGAAATTAAATATACCTACCAAGTATACAAATATGTATACACAAGAATTGTGCTTTATGTTTGTATAGGTTTAGTCTTTATTATCAAGTTATGTCCTAACACCCTAAACTGTTGATTATTTCTGGGTTTCTAATTTCTTAATAGGGTGATGACAGGGTATGAAAATTAAAAATCTAATTAGTCTGTCAGTTAGGTAATAAAAAAATATTAGACACGTATTTTCATATTTTGTCGTATAAGAAAACAATATTTAGATAAAACGAATCAAAGTTTAGGAGTGGGAGGAAAATAAAAATACGTGTCTAATGTTATAAATAATGTGTCTATGCTCTATAATCAGCATGCTACAGTCTACGCTTGAACTATGGGCCTCGTGTATTCGAGGATTTGCCATAATCTTATTTGGCTAATCACATTAATCCCTTACCTGTCTCAAATCCTGCTGGCTCTCTTCTTCTGGTGGTGGTGCGGTCGTGGTGGGCACGTCGCACTCCTCGGTGGGAGGCACCACACACCTCAGGGACCGTCTGTCGAAGACCAACATAGCGGGACACCTCTGCAGACGAGGGTATCCTCCTTGGCACTGCCAGTAGCGGTTGCACGACTTGCCTAGGGGCACGTTTCCGTTGGGGTCGTCATTGCAGAGAGCTGGAAGAAAATTATTGGTTTGAGATATCGGATTATAGGAGATCCACCAAGTAGTAATATGGTTAGTATAGATGCTATGAAGCTACTCGAGTATAGCTTGGCTATAATATCGCAGGTTAGGGAAGAGTAATCTATTTGTAGTGATGTCAAAACTGGTGTAGCTTAAGACAATTGAGAAAGAATTTGATAGAATATCACTATTATTAATATGCATCTATTTGGAAACAAATACTGCCAAAATAACGTAGAACGATTACAATCGAACAAAATGACGTCAACAACACAAAATACAAATAGATGGCAATCTAATGAAGTTAGCAGCCAATGATTATGAACGGAATCGACATCAAATAATTAAGTTAAGAGTTCTTCCTCCAAGTTAGTTGGTGCATAAGTAAAGAGATTGGTCTCCCGAAGAAACTTCGCTTATCTCATTACTACAGCTCTTTGTCTCGGCAATGAGGACTGATATAAGTCCAAACGAGTCTCTCCATTTATTTATTAATTCTAACAAAAGAAAGAACAATAAGCGAAAAGATAAGTTTCATTCTAATTTCCGGAATTATTACCTACTTTTAATTATAAATCTTTGGTTTGGAATGAAACACAATTTTAAGCGGCTTGAATCGTTGTTGAAATTTGAAGTATTTTTTTACGGTTGAGTATGTTTAGCTGTACTCTTAAAAAAGTAGTTAAGAATGTATGTGTCAAGATATTGGGAGTAAACGGCCCTAATTTACATCCACATCTTTAGGAAAACGACTGAACTTCTGGTAGACCTCAAAGTGATGATTCTCACTTGAGTGCAAAATTCTTAAGAGTCTTAAGTTAAATAACCATATAAAATTTCTGTAACAAATATTGATATAAAACCAGGACAACACCACACCTCCACATAGTCATTACATGTTCACCCAAAAACGCAAAGAATAAATCTCTGTAAGGTACTCATTACAATTCATATCGAGGTTGCGAGTCCACATCATAAAACAAAAGACGGGGTCATTGCTTCCCTCAATAACAATATAGCAAAGCGACCATAGGGAAAAACGGCCATAAAGTACAAAAATAAAAGATCAAAAGCTCGTCTATTCGATACCGAGAATCGAGGACAATGATCGTGTCCAGCTATGGCCATAGAATCGATACTTTGTATTGAATTACTTAAACATAAAGATATCGGTGCTCGAATCGGATCGTGATCGGTAAACGTGAAATGTTTTATTTAATAATCTTTTAGTACTTCGTCCAGGTTTTATTGTTCGTTTTCTTTTATTGTAAGTACTTTGTAAACCGAGACTGGTACAATGTAGGTATACCTAGTAAGATTGTTTTGTTAGGTTCCAGATATAGCCTGGACTTCGTTTGCTTTACTATGTCTTCGGATATTGTATTGCCTGGTCATCTATTGGTATAGCGATTTAACTCCATATTTTGAAAGAAATCAATTGAGGGGTTAGTCATTTATTTGGCCAGTAGAATACCAGCGCAAGGCCCTGTCTTGCACATGCTGAACTGGTCCCATTTCACCGCAGACTTGGGACCTGAACTTGTGTTTATCTGTACCTACTAATAAAGTAATACTATACATATCACTTGTATTTAGCGTGTGAAATAAAGTTTTTTTTTCTTTCTATCTGATTAAATATCTACTAGAAAATTTTGCCCTGTATAGGAATAATTATTATTAACACTTATGTGGGATCATCACAGTCATTCGCAGGTCATCACGTCACGCGGTGAATCCTTAAAACTTCTGACATTTTGACAACAAGGGCTTTAGTATTAAGGCCTAAAACCCAAAACTTACTCGTACGAGTTTGTTTTACGCATACGGTACGCATTCGGCGCTCTGATTGGTTGCTTCATTGGCGCCGGCCAATCAGATTGCCGAACACGTTACTCGTTTCGAATACTTTAAACGTAAAATAAACTCGTATTAAGGCCCAAACGTGAATGGGAAATACGGCAAATATTTTTGTATCGTAATATATTTCAATAAACAAACTTCCTTAGAATATTTTTCAAAAGCTTTCCGATCTCTTAAGCTCCTTACTGACCTTAATTTTTTCAAAGCTTAATGAAAGCCTACCTTTTCCATTCAGTACACAATTGATACTGTTTTTATACAATGACCTTGTTAAGATATTCATTCAGTTTTTTTTATTTCGGTATAGGTTATTTTTTATCGTGGGTATTTTTTTTTATACACACAAACTTTTATTTTATTTCGCTACTTTGAAACCTATGTCACCGAGGTTGAGTTTATAATCAAATATCAACTTTAAACTTTATTTAAATTAAATTTTCTGTCGCTTAAATTTTCTCGAAAATAAGAAAACTAGCACTATGTAAGTAGTATTTAGTATACATCTGTTTGACCTTTTCACGTTTTAAGTATCATACATTGATGGCGATCTGTAAAATGTATACAATTTTATTCTATGTGTGCAATAAAGTATAAATAAATAAAATGGCCGCAACCCGGTGGGTGGCCGCAAATAGGCGTAACCACCCTAATTTGTTTTATTAAAAAATCCCCTTAAAGGATACAGAAGTCTCTTTTGTGTATGTTTATTTTTTTTATATTTCATTGGCCACTTTTTTTAAGGGGGTAAAATCATCGAATGACTGCTCCCGCCTGGGTGAGGCGGGAGGGAGCGTCAGACTCTTACTGACTAAAAACCACCCTGTTCCTTCTCCTGCACGTCGAGCCGGAGCCCCGGTAACCCGTTAGGTTCTCCGCGACTCCGAATCGGCATCGGCCCTGTTTGGCCCCATCCGTAGTGGTCTGATGGCTCTTTGAGGCGCGCGCGGAATGCGACGCGCATGTTTGGCCACTATCTCGCCTGGTGGTAAGCGATGATGCGGTCTAAGATGGAGCACGTCAGCCTATTTATTCGGGCCTTGAAGACACCCAGGTTACATACAGCACAGTTATTTATTTCAGTCAGTACTTTACCAAGTAGCCATTACAATGATTTTAAATTATTACCATTATAAGTAATGTGTCATTGGCACAGGAATTACCTCAACCCTGAAAAGCTTTGTTTGGGTAGTTTCTTTTCCAAAAGATCCTCTTACAAAACTCTGTCCCACGCCTTCATTTATCATGCAGTAGTCGTGAAGTGTACCGGTGTATGATAGTTTTAATTATCAGATAGGCTGAGAACATAGCCGTTTATAGGCCACGTCTGTCCCACGCCTAAGTTCACGACTCGACCAATGTCAGCTGAGTATTATTGTGTCATATTCTCACAGAGCAGGTGAGAAATAAGTCCTGGTCTTGTTTACATAATAATATTAGACTTTTTATTGTTTGATTGGATAGATAGAGCAGAATTTTTTGATCTAAGTAATAAACATAAGTATACATAGACTTCAAAAAAGGAGGAGGTACTTTAATAGATAGAGTGATTCTTAATGAAGGTTTATTTATAATGTATAATAGATGTGATCTATTGCACCCGTGCGAAACTGGGGCGGGTTTTGTCGAAATAAAACATGTTTTTGACCATCATCTGTCGGCGTTTTTTGGGAGAGTTCCGTTTACATCCTGTATTAATAATAGATAATAGATGAATATCTTAGTCAAAATTAAATGTCTAAGACCTATTATCTACTAGATACATTGCGCCTACCAATTTACAGTATTAAAGACGTGTAGTTATGTATGATTTATCAACGTATTGTGTTTAAATTCAATTGACAATCATACATAACTGTGAGCAACGGTTTCCCATACCACTTACTTACAAAGTTCCTTGAGTATATTTTCCTAGAAATAACAAACATAATTCATAGATATTAAAAGACTGTTTACTCCCGCACGGTTTTACCTACTCTGCTCGGCTCTTATAAATTGACTATTCGACACAAAAAGAATTATTCAATTTGGACTAGTAGTTTCGGAGATACATCCAATTAATCAGTTGTCTTTGTAGTCCGATGTAATTATAATAATAATAATAATGAGTCCGACACTCCCTCTCGCCTAACCCAATGCGGGAGAAGTCATTGGATGCTTGACCCCCACAAAAAAGCATAAGAATAAGAATGTATATTTACACGAAGTATTTTTTTTATGGCATAAGCCGGTAAACGAGCAGACGGATCACCTGATAGTAAGCAATCGGCGTCGTCCATGGACACCTGGAACACCAGGGGCGTTACAAGTGCGTTACCGGCCTTTTGGGGATTAGGAGTTTGAGGATCGTTGGGGATTCAGGAATTGGGGAGATTAGGGAAGAGGAGGGTAATTGGGCCTCCGGTAACCTCACACACACGACGAAACACAATGCAAGCGTTGCTACACGTCAATTTTCTGTGAGGCCGTTGTATCACTCCGATCGAGCCGGCCCATTCGTGCCGAAGCATGGCTCTCCCACACTTTTAATTATGTATGATAATTAGAGGTGATAATTCTCCCTTATAATCGCTTAGACACAGTTACTTACTCAGTTCTGTTGTATTGTAACACTTGTACACCAATAAAGTTATAAATGAACATTCATAAAGTTATAAATCGTTGTCTGACATGGGAATCAAAGTTTCGCAATCATCTACAACACATAAGACCATTAAAACTGTGCCTACGGTAGTTTCTTTCATCATGACCCACCACAATGCCATTGTTGTCACTTGGATCGAAGCTCTGACCGCAAATTGGGATGATGACAGGGTATAAAAATTAAAAATCGAATTAGTCCGTCAGTTAGGTAATGAAAAAATATTAGACACGTATTTTTTTATTTTGTCGTATAAGAAAACAATACTTAGATAAAACGAATTAAACTTTAGGAGTGGGGGCTAAAACGTTATTTCTACGTATAATATGCACATAGAAGTGACGTCACGCGACATTTCAAATCAATATGTGTTTTGCTTTAGTTGGTACACAGTAGCACCGAATATTTTTTTTTCCTGTTAAAAATTCATATCAAGTTTGTTTTAGATGTAAGATAAAAATTCATATCAAGTTTGTTTTAGATGTAAGATAATAATTTTGTAAATGCTGTATTTACCTATAAGTATTTGTTACACTTACTGTAAAGAACTCACATTTGTATCTCGACAATTGTATTGGTGTAAACAAATGTTGGTAAATCATAAATAAATAAATCAATATATTGTCGAAAGTATTCGTTTCTGTAAGAAAATAAAAAATACGTGTCTAATGTTTTAAAATAATCTACCAGACGGACATTAAAATAAAAATTAGGCATTACCCTATTATACCCTGTCATTTCCATAGACGATTTGTCAATATGTACTTTCGATTTCAACCGTGTCGATGACCCGATAACTGTCATTAATGTCAAACGGACAATTACTGAGATTATATAAGGAAGCCGACGCACCTATTATGCTATTATACGCTTTATTAAACGAAGCAATTAGTGTGAAAGTTGCGTGATTGATCGGTGAAACGATGGCAGTTCATTCACTAGTGTTTGTTGAAGGTATGTACGGTTCATTTGAAGTTTTTAATTAGTGTTTTGTTTTTGGTTTTATTTAAAAATAGATTATTGGATTTTATAGAACATGGATTTTTTGGTTTTGTATGCTATTTGTACCGAAGAAAACGTTGGATATTAAAAAGGTCGTAAATACCACCTTGTTGCTTAAATGATAGATTCTACAACCGCAGTAATATATGCCTCAGGCTCTGTTTCGTTGCTTTAAGTAATATGTATGTATAGAGATATTTTTTTTATATAAGGAATTGTTTTCGTGTGATACGATGGCCGTTTTATTTATTACTTTAACAAGTCAGTCAATATCATTCAAATATTTGGTAAATGAATGCTAGATTATACTTACTTAATGTAATTGAGTACTTTCGTTAATCAAAAATAAATTATTTCGATTGTTCAATAATCACACTTTCGTTAATTGATGTTATGACCAACTTAATTTTAGTATTTTCCAGTATTTTTTTTAAGAAACTAGCTTCTGCCCGCGACTTCGTAATCCCGTTTTCTACCATTCCCGTAGGATTTCCAGGATTTCAGCCAAATCGTTCTTGCCGTTCTCAAGTTATGGCGTGACAACGGGACACGGGTTTCATTTTTATATATATAGATAAGTATGCTGTTTGACGCTAAAGAAACATGACGTCACTATACAAAATCTCGTACTTACTAAATTCATAGAAAACTGTCGTTTTTGACAGTTCGAAAAAAGTATTGAATTTTGACTAGTTGGCAAGTAGGTACCCAATTAATTAATCCAAGTCACACAATTTTTATGATGTTGGTACAGGATGTTCTTTCAATATTTAAAAGGCAAAATCACTTAATGACTTTAACTTCTTTGTTTAAAGGCAAACAATACAGTTACGACTGTTTGAATGTCCATTGGGTCCCTCCATGTCTAAATTTACTTGGGTCCAAAAATATACGTCATAATTTCAGTAAGTTTTCCTCAAAAGTAATGAAACGTCACTTCATAAGACCTCCTTCAAAGGGAAATGTAATAAAACAGAAACACGCTGTACTTACCTTATCAAGATAGAAATATTTACATTATATTTTTTAATTCGAAAGTTTTTAAATGTAAATTGAAAATGAATACCGAGAAAAATGATTTGTAAAATATTTAATTCGTGTTAATAAAGTAAATCGTGTAAATAAGATGGTCGAGTGGTCGCAAGTGCGACTGCCGGTCTAAGGGTCTTGGGTTCAATTCCCACGTCGAGCAAAATATTACTGGGCTTTTTAAAATAATACTCTGTAGTAACACGGGGTCTGGAAATGTGCCCGGTATCCCCCATATTACATGGGACTCATAACATAAATAGTGAAAAGTGGGTGTTACATTGTACATTGGCATTAAGTGCCGTAATGTGCACCTCTGCTAATTGGATAACAGGTGTGAGGTTATGTTATGTTGATTACTTTAAGTAAATTATAAACTCAATGACAAAAAATCATTGTTCTTTCAAATTACAAGACTTTATTAAAGAGATTACCTGTCTGTATGTACAACATGCGTTTAGTCTATTCCCAATAATGTACCTATAGACTTTTTAGTTCGTAATACCTACTTAGCATGGAATCTAGAAAGTGATTAGTCACTGGAAAAAATAGACTGATTCTATGGTTGAGTAGTCGCCGGCGTATCTAATTAATGAGGTTCGAACCCCATCGCCAAGGTAATTGCTTTTCTTTTCAATTGCAAAAGTGTCAGTCAGTCATAATAATATAGTTTCTGGGATGTTATCTACCGTTTGGTAAGGGGTAGGCATTGGTGCGTCTACATTATAACACAGACATTTCACAGTTATATATTTTTTTAAATAATCTAGACTGAAACTTGGGCTGACTACAGCCCAAACTTTTTTTTGATAACGGGGTAAACCTTCAAAAGCCGCCTAGCTTTATTTGGGGATAAAAAACTAGGAAGTGTGGGATTACCTACCTGACCAAAACCACCCCAGTGGCCACCCTCATCGCCTATAGGGGGCATAGAGTCCTCTATAATAGACGTGCACCGAAATCCCTACGGGAACCCGACACCGCTAGCTTGACAGTCACTTGCGACCTCACTCACTATACATTTACTAAGACTATTATCATAACTAGTCCGCAGTAATAGTAACTTAAGACCACCTCTGCTAATCCCCTCGCGAAATAACAACCGTGATCCTTACTAATATTATAAATCTGAAAGTGAGTTTGTTTGTTTTGTATGTTTGTTCCACCTTCACGCCGTACCTACTCAACCGATTGCTTTGAATTTTTGCAGACGTAAAGTTAGTAGTCTGGATTAAATAATAGGGTACTTTTTATCCCGAAAAAAATTGATATTCCCGAGGGAAAACAAAAGTATTGGTATAGATGGCGCTGTATGTATTGGTATATATGTCACAAGGCTACTTTTTATCCTTTTGTGACGCGAGCGAAGCCGCGGGTAAAAGCTAGTATTACATAAACATTACAACATTACGTTGCATGTTATATGAATAGAGAACATTATTTATATGGGCTTTCCACGTCACCACTAAGTCCGGTTATTATTATTGTATGAATGTACCACAATATGAGCCGTGACAAATTGTCGGCCTATGCTATGTACCTGTTATGTATTAGGAGAAAATGTACTAAATGTGGTGAATGGTGTATTGTAAAACAATTTAGATGTGTGTATTGAAATAATTTGTGGGTGAATTTGGTGTATTAAGCCCCGCGAAGCGAGCGAATTATCGCGGGCGCATCGGGAGCTGCGCATTCGTTAGATGTGGACGCACCCTTACAGGAATCATTACATCGTCTTTAAACATTTGTTAAACTAGGAATAATTTTAACTATGTTAATTATTATAATATATGTTTCGGCTTACTCACGTAATTATTTGACGAGCAACTCGACTAGTTAAAACGACTGTCGCGCTGCTATTGGTCGTCGCGTCGCGGGTCGCTGCTCATGAATATGAGCCTCTAGCAAGGCTTGAAACTAGTCGAGTTCCTCGTCAAATAATTACGTGAGTAAGCCGAAGAACATAATAATTATTTTGTATGTATCATGATAGTTATAAAATTCTACTATATTGTTATGAGTTTCATGTGGTTATAATGAACCTATTGCCATGTCTCGGAGAAGTTCCAAAATCCGTACAAATAAGTGGTTAAATACTGTAAGACTATAAGTGAGGATAAGTGAGGATGGGACTCATAACATAAATAGTGAAAAGTGGGTGTTACATTGTACAGTGGTATAATGTGCACCTCTGCCTACCCCTTCGGGGATAAAAAGGCGTGATGTTATGTTATGTTATAAGTGAGGATGAAATTGTGAAACTAATACTATTTATTCGTCTTTGGCATTGACTTTTCAGTTGACAAACCTCTAAAACTCGTGATCAACTTTTAAAAAGCAAATTCTACCAAAATTCCAACGAGCATGCGTCGTAAATCTACTGCAATTACAGTAAGACGAACAATATTGCAATCCATTTTAAACAAATTCCAATTCTCTTTCAACGATGTAAGATTGCATTTCGTGTAACAAGTGTAACTTTTACATACGCTTCCGTGTCTTAGACTAATCAGGGCGGGAGATGTGTGAATGTGTTACAGACGGAGCCAAATAAATTAAATCCCTGGTTTATTGTGCTGAGAACAGCACATTAAGCTACACCATTATTTAACTTTCAACCTTATCTTTTTCTTGTAAAGTTGAAAATCGGTTGAGAAATTTTGACAAAGATGGGAAGCTTGACATGCTGTTTACCTGATGTGACATTTTGAAGCCAGTTCTCATTAAGTGTGGTAGCTAGCTATTGTTTAAGGAAAACGGAGCGAAAATTCTTTGATGAAAAGACATTGACCTCATTTTCACAAAGTAACCTGAATTCCATGGATTCAGGGATGTTTTAACTATGTAGCGTGACCGTTTAAGAAAAAAACTAATTTTGCTGAAATACAAACTAGTACAATGTTGCCATCAAATCAAATCAAAACTTTAGACGAAGTGAGAGACCCATGCTTCGGCACGAATGGGCCGGCTCAACCGGAGTGATACCACGGCCTCACAGAAAACCGACGTGAAACAACGCTTGTGTTGTGTTTCGTCATGTGAATGAGGTTACCGGATACCCCCTGTTCCCCAATCTCCACAATTCCTGAATCCCCAACAATCCTCAAACTCCTATTCCCCAAAAGGCCGGTAACGCACTTGTAACGCCTCTTGCGTTCCGAGTGTCCATGGGCAATGCCGATTGCTTACCATCAGTATCAGGTGATCCGTCTGCTCGTTTACCGGCTTATCAAAAAAAACAATAAAAGTTAAAAAACTACTCACGATGTTTCTGGCAACCGTCAACATTCTCTGGCCAGTCGCAGGAGTGGGCGTTCTCGTTGTACAGCAGACCTCCAATGCAGAGCTGTTCCGTCGCAGTTCCGTTCCAGCAGGTCCAGTACCTGGTGCAAGAGGTCTCGTGTCCAAAGATGCCGTACAGCCAGTCGCAGTGCTCCGAGCCGATGGGAGGATCTGAGTGAAGAAAGAGAAGTTAGTATTTGGTTGAATTGAGGATGAACTGAAGATGTAAGTCGAAGAAAATGGAAAAGGTGCCCAACTGTGGAAATCGGCTGAATTATTCTATTCTACTAATATTATTATTCGTATATTTGCAAAAGTTTTTGAGGATGTACATATGTGTGTGTGTGTTTATTACTATTTTACGTCAAAACAGCTATGTAACACCCACTTTTCACAATTTATCTTATGAGTCTCATGTAATAGTGGGTGAGCCTATTGCCATATACCGGGTATAACTCTAGTCTCCGTGCTACTACTGAGATTTTTTTTAAATCCCAGTAAAACTTTGCACGGCGCGAGAATCGAACCCGAGACCCCTTGCCCGGCAGTCGTACTTGCGATCACTCGGCCAATGAGGAGAACAAGAACACAAACGAAGCAGCTGGCAGAAGATAGTATTTAATAATTATAAAAAAAAAAACCTCCAGGCAGTCATGCTTTGGCATTAGGGTTGTTAATGAATAAGTGTTTTTGATGTTGGAAAAGTACAAGGCGTTCATATATTTGATATTTCCAGAAGATAAAAGAGGTTTATCTCAAAGATTGACTAATGTGCTGTTATGGTAGTCTACTTGTATTCATTTCAGTGTACTGTGACACCTACATTCTCCTTAAATGTTACCTCCTACTTACAAGGTTACTGTTTGTACGATTCGGTCCACTTCATGTGAAATCAGGTTCCTTTCTTCTAGAATAGATTAATGAAAAATTCATCGAATTTGTTAGAAATAGTCAAGTGAAGCGAAAATACCACGAAATTTCAAAGATACCAGAAATCTATTGTTTAAATGTTACCCAAGATTTTTCTAGTATCGTAGGTGTTTTGGAAATATAAATGTCACAGCCCCAGAAAGAAAATATGTTATTTGATCACACATATAAGTATTTGATCACTGCAAACAACAGCTATAACTTTGTCAGCACTGTATTGAGATCCTGAACTCATCATCATCATCAACAGCCTATAAGTAGCCTGACCAAAGGCCTCGTAACACACGGATAACGTTTCAGCATTAATCAATACGCTTGCTCAATGCGGGTCGGCGGCAATTTCACTTATAGTTCGAAATTATTTGCCCAGGTTTCCTCACGATGTTTTCCTTCACCGTTTGTCAGTGGTGTCTAAATAATCTTTGAAAGTACATGTAACTCGGAAAAGTCACATTAGTACTTGCCGTTCGTAGGTTTCGTACCCGCGCCTTCATTCATGTGAAGCGAGCGTCTTAAACCTCCGGCCCACTACAACGCTTTGAGGTGAACTATCCCAACATAATTTGATTATAGTTTTTACCTTTATGAAATTTCTACTGCTATAAAAATGTGTATCAAATGATCTACTTACTGATCTGAACCTTAGGATACTCGCAGTAGTTGGACCTCCACGGATAGTCACATCCCTCCGTCACTCCTCGGTGCTTGCCAGCGAAGACCAGCCCGTTAGGGCAGTCATACTGGACAGACTGTCCATTCTCACACTCCCAGTATTTATCACAGTACTTGTCATCAGCCACTATTCTTGATTTCGTTTTGCAGGGGTCCTCGATTTGGGCACATGATGCGAAGGTGGCTGCTAGCAGAACTGTAAAAAATGAAAAGTCTGTTAGGATATTTTTGGTTCAATGGTATCAATTCTATAGTCATGGAATTGTGTTTTGGATTTGGGGGAGTTATTGTTTTTCCAGAAAAAAGTCTGACAGTTGGTTCTAAATTACTCAAGTACTTAGTTTTGACTAATTTTGCACTATTCCCGACTAGTTTCAAGCCATGCTAGAGGCTCATATTCATGAGCAGCATTTTGCTACCCGCGACGCCGCGACTGTCGCGCTGCTAGTGACAGTCGCCGAATTCGAAATGAAACTAGTCGAGTTCCTCGTCAAATAATTACGCGAGTAAGCCGAAAACATAATAATTAATTTAGTATGTCTCACGAAAGTTACAAGATTCTAAACTATTTATGTAAATGAAATATCCGTAATACTCCATGATATAAAGTAACTAAATAAAATAGCGATTCATCCTTATCCAAGGTTCTGATATCCACAATGAACTGTGAAGGTCGACCCTGAACTTTTGAAGATTTTTTACACTTTTGAACTTCAGTCCATCGAGTGGAAAGTCAACGAGGTTTGAGAGGGACCTTTTTCGCAGTTTTGACACAAATCCACCACCTCAGGAAGTCTTTGTGTACAGTAACGATTTATACTGCCTTATTATCTCACTGCTAACCCCAATCACAATGGCATAAGGTTCAAAATTGCTCAGCAATAGGGTCACAAAGAATTTCAGTGGGGTATACGCATTACGCATTTCTAAGTAAGAATGTTTCTTTCCAAACCTCGTTTTATTATCTTGTTGGTATTTTTAATGCTTTTATGATATGTTATGGGAATTTTCTACTTTTATAAACATGTTTGTTGAAGGGTTCCAAGACGAAATGCTCTTTGATGGATGACTTTGATTACGATAATCAAAGGCTTGTTTGTGGTCAGAAAGTATTGGTTGAGGAAAAATCTTATATCTTTTATATACATAATGTTGTGGTATGTATAGTATCTATCCCTTTCTTACAGTAAAATTCCTTCGAGTTTATGATGTGTCGAACGCTACTGAAACGCAGACAAACAGAAATTGTATTTTCACTTTTAATCGTTTTTGTTTTCGTGGTATTCATGCGACATCATCATTGAGCAGTTGATTACAACTATTATTATATAAAAGAAACATTTAATTCCTTACTTTTATGAAAATATAACTTGTTTTTTAACATCACCTTTCGGTGTTTTACTGGAGCATTCTGTTTACACCCTGTATTATGTCCATTTCAGTAAAGAAAAAATTTCAAATAAAAAAATATTAAAAACAAGTTTTCTACTACACTCAAGCAATATTTTCCCCAGTAATTAAAACATTCAAGTCTTCAAAGGTCAAATTAGGCTAACGAGATACTGATGACATTTTTAGCGATCTTCATACATTTTTATTACTTTTGCAATTATTATGAGGATTGTAATAAAAATATGTTAATTACTGTAATATCACGTCTATTCTTACTGTAAGGGACAAACAGACACAAACTTACTAGTCTTTAATTGTGATTTCAATTGAGTACATGACTAAAACATCGAAAACAAGCCTTTTATTAAATACTGATTTGTCTCAGTTAAGGGTTAAGGAATAGAATTTAAAACTATATAGTCTATATAGTATTTAGTCTATATTTATATATAGACTATATAGTTATCTATATAGTCGCATTTGTAATTTCACCAATGGGACCAACAAGAGCCAAGAATGATGAGTAATTCATATTAAATAAGCTTAAAATGTTAGCCCGGGTTACCCAAGTTTATAATAAGTCTCAAGATGCAACAAGGTACAATAATAGTTTTATGATGGTTTTAGTCTGACGCTGAACTTCTTGGAAGCGTAGGGTCAACACGCAACGCGTACGACATAGTCAGGACGATATTAAAACAAGCTACGCTGATCGTCAGCGCTGATCAGCAAAGCGCTGAACTATCAGCGCTGACAGACAGCGTGGCATTATAATCAGCCTAAAGTTTACATTAAAATAGTTCTTTTGTTCTCAGACGAATATTTTGCGTATCTAGTCTTTTTTTTTGAGAGGGTAATTCAATTATATCTATGACTTCTCCCGCCCGAGTGAGGCGAGAGGGAGTGTCAGACTCCCACTGACTAAAAACCACCCCGTTCCTTCTCCTGCACTTCGAGCCGGAGCCCCGGTAACCCGTTAAGCCCTCGTATCGGCATCAGCCCCATTGGGCCCTATCTGTGGTGGTCTGATGGCTCCGTACGCTCAATTTTGCGTAGTTATAGGCATAAACGCAGCAATAATTATGAAGCTGCACGTATCAAACCGCACCCGGCTTCATTATAGTGTCAGTGCATAATTCAGTATTTTGCGTTTGTAATTACCTCATTTGGTAATACCATTCCGGTGGTCTTACTGGACAGTGCACTTACATGCACGTAATGAGGATCTTTACAGAGATTTACTAGGTTCGTTAACAACACGAGTAATTAATAAAAGGGATTGTCAATCTGTTAAATATGACCTGGGTTGTGATGTGACCATGTGATGTGTACATCTGGATTTTTTCAAAATCTGACTCCGAATCGAATTAGGTATATACGTGGGGTGTGTCATCAATAATGCGCTGTCAAACCATGTAGGAAATATTGTTATTTACATCGGTTCTAATTCGAAGACATTTTGAAATAAAAATCCTCATAATCTTCTACCCAAAGTAGTCTAATAAAATGACAATTAATTTATTCATCAAAAACTGAAACAATTTCAATGTCACATATCAAAGCTTCTCCGCTACTCTTGCGCAAGGAGCACTTTCTCTGCGCTTGCACAGTACAGACACTGACGTAAGTGACGTAACTCGTGTAACATCGGCTAACTTCGGGAAACAGTATAACACGGTCATCTGGGTTTGTCTTTTTATTAAATATTACTTACTAGCTTCGTTCCCGTGAGATATATCAAGTAGCCTATATGATATTCCAGGGCCTCAAGTTTGCTATTACAATAGTTCCAGAATGATCTATCAATGATTTCAAAATTGTTGATTTTGACAAGTTGGGTAATCTACTAATGTAATGGCGTCATTATGACTTTCCAATGGTCAACCACTGACACACCATTGAATGTAATGACATAAAATGGTAATCTCGTACGTAATGACAGATAGGTACTTCAGATTGCATATAACACTGATAAATATTTTGTAAAATAACAATAAATGTTCAAATTGAGTAGTAGATTTTCGAAAACTATTTCTACTACAAAGTTTTTTAATACTGGCAATATGGCAATGTCATTCTACAATAATTCCATTGCGAGACCATTGACCGATCAATGATCGACTGTTATGAATTTAGCAGATTAGGAACTTTTAGCCAAATGATAATGCGATCGTGTTGGAATGACAGCAATTGGGTAGTATCCAGGGTTTCATAATTAAACATCTAATTAGTCCGTTAGTTGGATAATGAAAAAATATAAGACACGTATTTTTTTATTTTCTCATATTAAGTTGCAATACTTAGATAAAATGGCGCTAAGTTTAGGAGAGGGTGGTTGTTACGTCATAACGTGCTATAAAATGTGGCACGCTGTGACGTCACACGATATTTCAAATAAATATATCGTCGAAAGTATTTAATTTGGTAAGAAAAGAAAAATACGTGTCTAAAGTTTAAATTAATGTGAATTAAAATAAAATTTAGGAAACTACCCTATTACCTATTATTATAAAAATAGCAGACTTGAGGCCCAGACCATAATGTATCCAAATTTCAATTCGACATCTTCAGCAGTGTTGCAGTAATTGAATAACAAACATATACAAATAAACACCCAAACACACAAAGTTTCGTATTTATAATATTAGTAAGATTTCCTAATACGTGTTAAGTCATTTGTATTTACATATGTTTTATGCTTTTTGTGTATTTTGCTAAATAGCTGTGACGAGTGATAGAAATAGGTAGTCTGTGTATGCATGCGTGAAGTTTTGTTGGGTAATGAAGTATGTGTATAATGCTTGTCTATTTGTTTGTTGACTGTCTCGTTGGCCGAGTGCTCGCAAGTGCGACTACCGGGCAAGGGGTCTCGGGTTCGATTCCTGAGTCGTGCAAAGTATTACTGAGTTTTTCTCAGTGCTAGCCCGTGCTAGTACTGAGAAAAACTCAGAAATACTACTTATGGTATAATAATGGTATATGGCAATAGGCTCACCCCCTATTACATGGGACTCATAACATAAATAGTGGAAAGTGGGTGTTACATTGTACAGTGGTGTTAAGTGCCGTAATGTGCACCTCTGCCTAACCTTTCGTGGATAAAATGCGTCATGTTATGTTATGTTGTTTGTCTGTGTGATTATACTAGGTGTGTTACTGTGCTTAATATTTTGAATTAATTGAGATGAAATGTAAATACTAAGATAGTAATCAACTTCATTACTCTGGGAGAAGGTTAATTTAATTAATGCTCCTGTTTGTCTAAAAGGCTTTTTTGACTTCTCCCGCCTGGGTGAGGCGGGAGGGAGTGTCATACTCTTACTGACTAAAAACCACCCCGTTCCTTCTTCTGCACTTCGAGCCGGAGCGGAGCCCCGGTAACCAGTTAGGTTCTCCGCAACTATCTAAAAGGATAGATAATAATATTCTTACCATAACTAAATGACCTACTAAACAGTAGTTCAGTGACACCACAAAATACAGTTCAAAATGTTAATTTGCGTAAAATGAGACGTCATGATTACTATAATAACAGTACCGACATACTAATATACTATCTTCGATGGCAAAGTTCGCATAAAATATTCAGAATATGTTCAATTTAATCAAATCGAACTCTATTAATTAGTTTGATGACGGAAACTAACATCAAATAGTGTCTTTGACCTTTGATCTTGATTCGTGACATTTGACGGGCGAGGATGCGATACGTGCAATATTAATTAATTAATTAATTATAAGCAACTAGCTTTTACCCGCGGCTTCGCTCGCGTCACAAAAGGATAAAAAGTAGCCTGTGTGACATATACCAATACACACAGCGCCATCTATACCAATAATTTCGTTTTTCCTCGAGAAAATCTATACATTTTTCCGGGATAAAAAGTACCCTATTATTTAATCCAGACTTCTAACTTTACGTCAGCAAAAATTCAAAGCAATCGGTTTAGTAGTTACGGCGTGAAATCAGAACAAACAAACAAACTCACTTTCCGATTTATAATATTATATTAGTAAGGATTTTATTAATTCGATATGATGTTGCATTGGAATCTTTAGATAAATATTTTTGTGATTGTGAGGAAAATTAATACTTGGACACGGATATGATGTTTTAATTTGTATTTGTTTATTTTTTTATTTATATTGTTTCAGAAAAAGAAGGACGTTCTTGTATGTTTGTAAACGCACCCACGACACAGGAGATAATCCTAGTGTGGGGCAACGTTTTTTTTAAAGAAGAAAGAAAGAAGACGTTTTCTGTTGACCTGTATGTATGTTTGTTTGTGCTGTGCGCGCTAATCTCGCGATTAGATGAACCGATTTTGTTGCGGTTTTCAGAATAATGTTTGTTACACTTAGGAGAAGGTTTTAGGATATCAATAAAAAACGACTAAATAAAAAGGCGGTTGCAGACGGTTTAGTTAATTAGTTTATAAAATAATTATTGTTATAGGTATTGTAGAAATATTTTTTGATAGAAATTTTTATTATATCGTGATTGTTTTATGTTACTCAGATGAGACCACGGA